GGCATCGGAAGAGACATACACGAAAATCATAATACCCTCTCGGCTCAAAAGTTGTTCTCTTCGAAGTTATTCAAGCGAAACTCAGATAAAGTTGGACGGGTGCCAAGAAATTAATTAAATGGTGTCCGAGTTCTGTCGCTCCAAATGATGGAAGAGTTGTAATTAATTTCATGTTAGACAAACGCGAAATATGGAAAGAATAAAAAATGTAGGCATTTCATTTTCTCGCAAGGAAGTTGTCACAGGAATATTTTGATACTTTTGTAATAACAAGTCAATTATTATATGTTTGATTTGTTTGGTGAATAAAGTATTACAGCTACATTAGGCTGGGCAGCAATAGGCATATCTTTAAAAAATATAAAAATTGAGTTTACAATACCTATCAAAACGTTTTGCTGTGCTTACTTTTCGTAATTTTTTAAAATTTCTAAATAGGCCATTTTCAGCCTTCACCGCCCCCTTTAGCGGTGAAAAGTTAAAGTTTGAAATTTTGGCGTACAAAACCTACTGAAAGTTACATTTTAGTGTTTGTATTCTTGAGCGAATAAAGCCTTCTCTTGATTCTGGACCAATTACTAAAGAAGATGACTCTGTAACTAATTTTACGCATCTCTCCACGGACTGAGTATGGCAAGGGAACTTCGGAAAATCAAAGTCTGGAATTTCGGTTTCGTTTATAAGGTCCCTAAGATTATGTTCAGTAAAATAACTTAAAACATCGCACTCATTCCAGTAAATTAACTCAAAGTAGCACTGAAATTAATTTTTGGTACCACAAAGTGTCTTACTTCAACGGTTTCTTGTCTGGTTTCTCTAGTTTTTAAGATTCTTTGTAGAGATAGTTCCCGAACCCATGCACGAGTGTCTGTTAGCATACACAATAGAATGTTTTCGGGTTGTATAAAATACGCGTTTCTTTGAATTACCGTATTCGCAATACTTTTTAAATGATCTCTTAAATACTGTGACAGTTTAATCGTTTTAAATATATGCAAACTATTACTGGTGGAACTGAAATTTAATTTAAACCACATTGGGGCATACACTTTTATTATGAATTCGACCATTGTGAGCCATCTAGAATGCGCTAATTTCCCAGGATTACAATGTACTAAATTTGATGAGAAATTGCCGCTAGATATTGCATTGCAAATGTCATACAGTGAGCATCATAAGTCTTACCCCCCTAACTCGTTACTGGAGTCTTGTTAGGAAAATCGCCGAGACACGTCGATTTTTGATTTCCACAATGTACATTTTTGTATGAATAGTTTACCCTTAATTTTATCCCTTACTGAAGGGGAACATCCCTTTCGAAAAATTTAATTGGCATGGGGTGGTGAGTGATAGCTCATTTGAAAGGGGGTTTTATTCTCTATTCAACCGTGCAAAACATTTTGAAATTTGCTTCATTAATTCTCGACTAATTATTGTTTCAGAATAACGGAAATTAACGTAGCGCACTCATCCTTAGAATTAAAATTCGGCACTGCATGATATCGGTTTTGGTTCAGACGTGAAGCTTAAGACTTTTTGCCATTATATAAGGTCACTGTTAGTTAAGTTGCTTTCCTATTTGTGATGTTTTGTTATTTTTAAACATTAATAAATCAACACGTAATAAAGTAAATTTCAAAATGTTTTGCACGGTTGAATAGAGAATAAAACCCCCTTTCAAATGAGCTATCACTCACTACCCCATGCCTTTTAAATTTTTCGAAAGTGTCGCTCCCCTCCAGTAAGGGATGAAATTAAGGGTAAACTATTTATACAAAAATGTACATTGTAGAAATCAGAAATCGACGTGTCTCGGCGATTTTCCTAACAAGACTCCAGTAACGAGTTAGTTATGATGCTCACTGTATAAATATGTCTCAATATACCTAATAACACCATTTTTATTAGTGGTGTTAACAACAGTACCATTGAAACCCACAGCCGCCAAACCATCTTCTTCCAAATTGTTTTTAGCAAAAACGTGGTAAAAAATTATCACTGAAGATACAAAAAGAGATATTCCGCCGAATTGAGTCGGTTAATGATAATATTAACTTTTATAAAACTATAGATTTTGTAAATTATTTGAAGACACAAGTGGATGATGGGCCTATGTAGCAAAATAATTTTTACGAGATATTTTGTATTAAAGTTTATTGTTTGGCAGTTATTCCCTAGTACATGGGTCCTTTATCCACTGGCAACTTCTCTATTTGATGATATTTGTCACGGAAGACATTTTAAACGAACTTTAGGTCCATAAGCCCTTCATTCACAGAAAAACAACATTTAAAAAAAAATATTACATAGGCCCTTCATCCAGTTGTGTCTTCATTTGTTAAGAGAATCAATTTAATTTGAGGCTAATAAATGGCTTTTATTTACAATTATTTGAATGTATTGTTGACAATACACAGAACTAAGCATGCCGCTAACATGCAGGTAACGGCCTTTCAAATAGAAGCGTAGGTTGTGGAGTGTTAAAAGACCAGATACTCTGGAGTTTAATAATATTAGAACAAAAATATATAACAAAAATACCAAACTTTTTCAAGCAGTGTTAACATATTATTACTGTAGTTTTCTTAGGTGTTCACCAATTGGTTGCAATACTAACTCTTAACAGGCAAATGTACTGCTTATTGTTTCTGTAAATTAGATTGCAGTAATAAACGATGTCAATTAAAATCCCTTTTTGGTTTGGTCTATCTTACGTAAAACTCACTCAATAACCTTTATTCAAAACGTAAGATTTTATTAAATAAGTGCCAAGCTAACTTGTTTCTATTGTTAGGGATTTGTTGAGTTTTTCATATTTTAAGCTCAACTGTCCAAAAGACTAAATTCAAGATAAACACAAATTTTTTAAAAAATTGTTCCGATAAGACCTTCAAATTCGGTGTAATGCATTAAAAACGGTGAAATTTTCGATACATTTAACTTTGACCTTGAATTACTTTTGAACTATTAGTTTCTGCAAAAAATCTTAAGAACGTTCAATTCTCTACCAGAATAAGTGATGGTTTTTTTCTATGATACATCATGGGCCAGCAATAAAAATCAGAAGGTGCAAAAAAAATTTTTCCATGTTATTCTTATGAGGAATAGAAAAGTGCGATGCGGACAACTTTAATATTAAGGGCTCAACTTTTAAACTGACATCTTTTTACGATAAAAAAAAAACTTTTAAGCCTGTTTGAAAAAAAAAATTTTTTTAATCACCCTAATAAATAGATAAACCAACAAAATACAAAATTTGGTACTAAACAAAAACACATATCTATTTTAAGCAGGTCGATATTTTGACCAGTATCCACGTAGGTTGATACATTTCAATAAAATTTACTGTTCGATAATTAAACCACTTCTTTATTAAATACAAAAAATACTGTCACGTCTGTGATAATACAAATTATACACTAACGATTATGGAATAATGCAAAACAAGAAATACATAATGCAACTTTACATTTAGTACATTGTACATTGCTGTGCTTAAGTTTCTTGTCAGTGCTACATCTTGCACATCTTTGAAATGTAGTATGTGTGGGTAAGTGTTTTCCAACATTATTTAGCCTGACAATATTTTCCACACCAACTGTTCTCCCATCCACTTTTTTCATTTTATTTTTTCCGACTACCAACCAGGACCCTGGGTTTTTTCTAGATGAGAAATATCCAATCAGTTGGTTAGAAGGGATACTTCTAAAATTCAAGTGTGATTTTGGTTTATTATTGGGCTGATTTTGAGTGAAACTTCACTTATATAGAATGTGAGAGTTGACAAAATACGAGAATAACTTCAGCCACCATCTTCGTGACTTCCATGCTATGTTATAGCAAAAGTGAAGTTGATCAAATAAATCAACACCACCCATATGCTGATTATAGTCATCTATACTCTTGGGGCAGTTTACAGTGATTATAACACCTTCTTTGGTCATGCGTTTTACAGTTGACTTCTCTAAGACCGTATGAATCGTGCTAGCTACTACAACACATGTCTTGCCTCTGTCCTTCCACTTGCTCACTGTAACATAGGTAGTACCTACAGAATCTGAATCTGCTGCTTTCAAGTGTTTGTCAGCAATCAGCAAAGTTTTTCCTATTATTCCTCACTGTCCCACATCCAAAAATATTCTGATCTAGAAGCTTGAGAGAAGTAAGAAGCTATTGAAAAAGTTATCGAAATAAATAAAATAATTTTTGTTCTGAAATGGCCGGGTAAACTCTTTTTTTCCTTCGTAGATCACACTTTAAACATTCTTTTAATGGGTTTTTGGGGCATGTATTGTTTAAGATGACTTCCACCCTTAAAAGCAACCATGCTCTCGTCAACAGCTAAATTTCTACCAGGATTATAGCAATTCAAATGACTGTCTGATAAATGGTTTATCATAGGTCTTATTTTATAAATATTGTCGAAATTAGCATCTCCTCTCTTAGGCATATCTTCATTATTGATATAAGATGTAAATAGCGCAAAATTTTTAAAAAACTTTTTAAACTCATTGTATTGGAAATTCTTGAGCAATGAAAGTTCTGATCTGATTGACCAATATAAATGTAAGCTTGGCAAGGAGTGGAAACCCATAATAATTAAATTACCTAAGAACACCTTTAGCTCTTCTACGGTCAAATCAAGAAAAGTACTTTTTTGCAAAGCGTATCGGTTTGATTCGGACACAATTAGATCGAGAACATCTTCTCCGAAAAGCGTTAAAAAAATGTTAATAGGTGAATTTTCTACTACCACTTTTGGGACAGTGGGTTCCTCAAAGTTGACTTTCTCGAAAAGATGAGGAAAATATGGTTTTGTGTCCCATTTAAAATCGTTGTTTTTTGTTTGTTTATTGGATTAATGTGGTTTTGGACGAAGAAGATTTGCGAGAGGCTCATTATCATCTTCATCAGATGAGGAATATCTTGCTCTGGTTACTTTCTTTGGTGTAGGGTGAAAGTCTGGGTCCCCTATTGAGTCATCGCTGTCGTAATCTAATTCACTGGCTTGGTAAAGAAGTATTCATGATATTATCCTCGGCCTCTGAGTCTCCCCACAAGTCAGAATTAATGGCCTGATCATCACCAATTCCATCAATAATGTCGAATACGTCACCTGGATCCATAGCTTGCAATTGTTCAAAACTGAATGTATTTCTTGGATGCATAAGTCCTAAAAATATATTAGTATTTTTCAAGACTGTAGTTGTCCCCTCCCCAGGTTTTGTTCCGGCGCCCATGACGAGAAACACCTGTTTATTTTGTTTATCAAACCTACAGCGCGATAAATTGAACTAAGAAATTTCTAAATTTTGAGGTTATGCCGGAAAAACATGAAATATTATCTTGCCGATAAAACATACAAACATTATTTTTAGTTTATCAAAATCTATGGTATTTATTGTACAAATTACTACTTACCCTCACTTTTTTTTTTTTTTCAATATTGACGACAAAAACAGAACTACTTTTCAGGACCTTGTCGAAAATGAGTATTATTGTCCTTTGTTTGTAACGGATACTGGACGATATTGTGAGCTAAATACGCGGTAACAAATAAATGATCGAATATTAAACCAGTATGCCACTAGGAAATGTAAAAATTATCTGTGGTCGAAATATCGACCAGTATCCTATAAAGGGTTAATACATATACAGTTTTAGTGAGTGATGAATTTTTTTTGTCACATACTATATTTATTGCTTTATTTGTATAGTAAAAATACATACTTTGACCAAAACAGGTCTGTGGAATCATCAATAACCCTCTAAGTAACAATATTTTGATTTTGTTTATTAAGTATGTCTTTTTGATGTTCATTTTAAAGTATGTATGTCGAAATCTAGCAATATAATAGGATTGAGCCTTTGGAGACTTTTATTCAAGTCAAGTATCATAAAATTTAAAAAAATTGGGCAAAAAAAAAACTATCATGAAGCGCCATTGTATTACCTATACTTTTTCCAATACATTTTATAAAAATTTATTCTTATACCTAGTACTTTTTTCATTCCACTCTCCCGTACTACCAATAATATATTAGTATTTATGTTATAGGTTATAGTACCGCCGCTGGTGTCAAACACTATAACGCTAAACAGTACTTTGGTCGGTTTTGACCAAGGTCGTCCGGGTGCCCACTCTTGTCAGGAATCTACGGATAAAGACCGAACAAAGGGCCCGTGGGCTGATACTGTCACCCCCCTCGCTCGCTTGCCCCCCTTGCGGACTCCCCTCATCTCTCTTCGGCCATTTACCAGATCGAATGTCGCACAACGCATACAGGGAGATTTTAGTGGATAATTTAAAATTTGTGTGACGTAAGTTTTATTTTATTAATCCTTTTTTGTTGAAACTTTTTGATTCGAAGACACTTTTGTTATTATTTTTGGGATATTCTATTAAGTTATTAATATGATGGTCACTTTAATTAAATGTTAATAATTAAAAATATAAAATCAACAGTAGAAGAGGATGTAAGGTTTAATTCTGTCAAGAAGTCCAGAATTTCAGTTTTTACCTTATCTGTAGGTATTTGTCGAAGAATATTCATTAGGAAGAAACCAAAAAGGTTAGAAAGGGCAAAGTTAACAGAAAGTAATTGTCACTGCCTGAAATCATCCAGCACCAAGAAACAAACTCGTCGAGAGGAATATTTGTATTGCAGTGTCTAATTAGGGTAAACTTTTTAAGGATATCCTGTTATCCGTCGTGTGAGAAAGCGGTTCCTCTTTTAACGAGCGCGTATGCTTTTTTATTCCCCTTAACACCGCTGTGTCCCAGAACTCAGAATAAAGTAACTTTCAAACCAGCTTTGAGTCAACTCGATTGGAGCTCAGAGTCTTGAAGGTTTGAGGCCTTTATATTCCTGTTTGCGGAGAGAAAATTCTCCTCTATCTCGCTCCCAATTTTATAGCGATCATTTCTGCTTGGAAGATCGTGTCCAGAGAGCCCAGGTTTGGCTTCTGACCGAAAACTCCCGTTTACTACTCTTATTTCAGTTTTGTAGTCGCCCTTATACAGCACATAGTCTGCCTGGGAGAGGTTTTTATCTCCTCTGCTCCATACCTCTCTGAAATGAGGACGCTGTAAGATTTATCTTTATGCTGTCGGGGAATTAGCGAGACTAAGATCATGTCGAAGATGTGGTGGTTATTAATCTCACTCATCAGCCCCATTTTGTCCCATCGCAGTTCTTCATTGCATTGACTGCCCATTTTCAGGAGTCTTTAGGAGACCATCCTAGCCTCCCTGTCCAGCAATGTGGAGAGAGGTTATATCCAGTATGGTCTCTATACCTCCCGTCGGTGTGGTTGGCATTGCCCCCGTGATGGCGAAACACGCAAGCCAGCCAGGTACAACAAACCCTATGGACGACAGAGGGTTGGTTGGCTTAGAAAATGGCTCATCTTCCTGATAGCTGAGAACAGAGTATAAAAATGTGTATACTTCCGTCTGGTGTGAGTGGCGTTTTTTGAAATCAAAAACTCTATTTCCTCACAATTTGACACCTGCACAAAATTTAAACTTGTGGAATATTATTTTCTGGTTTTAAATAACCTGAAGATTACAAAATTGAATAAATAACGATCTCGCTTTCAAACGCTGCTCCTGCTTTCCTCATTACATGCCACTCAATCGTTTAGTTAAGAGATCCATGTAGAAAAATATCTTGTTTAATGAATTTTCTAAACTTTTTTAATATGTCTCAACATAATACAATACTTAACTGTAATAACAGAATCCTTGACCTCGTTCTCTCAAACATTGATGCATGCACTGTCTCGGAAACATCTGAACTCTTTCGACTAGATCCACAACACCCTGCCCTTTCTGTTGATATTTCCATTAAGACTACTCTAAAGACATTATCTCCATCATGTTCTAAAGAATATAATTTTAAAAAAGATCATTTTCCCAGTTTATATCAAGATCTACTCACAATTGATTGGACCCACCTATATCAGTTCGGCAGCGTGGATGAAGCAATTAAAATGTTTTACGAGATACTCTATAATATCTTCGACAAAAACGTTCCTTTAAAGATACCACCGAAAAAGCATTATCCTGACTGGTTCTGAAATAATTAAAAAACTCAATTTGAAGTCTAAAGCATGGAATAAATACAAAAAAAGTAAAAATCCTGAACACTACATCCAATTTAGTAACCTAAGAGCTGAAGTTAAGTATATGTCTGATTCTGCTTACAAAAACTATTTGAGGACCTCCGAAGCAAACATTAAAACAAATCCCAATCAGTTTTGGTCATTTATTAACTCAAAAAAGGCGTGTCATCTTCAATTCCAGCCAATATGTCATATAACAATGTAAATTCGGAAAATGCCCAAGACATAGTTGAATACTTTGCCAGCTTTTTCGCTGAAAATTATTTTGCGTCAGGACCATACACTGCCTCCAACGTTACATCTTGCTCAAATCTGTTTTTTTTTTACAGAAAACGAAGTTCTGATTGCCCCCAAAAAAAAATGAAGTCAAAAACAACGACCGGCCCTGATCTGATTCCTTCCTTTCTAATTAAAGACTGTGCTCAAATTTTTTGTAAACCTTTACAATATATCTTCAACTTAATGCTATCATCGGGTACGTTCCCAACTATCTGGAAGCTTTCTCGAATATGCCTTTTTTTAAAAAAGGTAATCGGAACGAAATATGCAATTATAGGCCTATTACTATTCTGTGCAACTTCTCAAAAACATTTGAGATTATTTTGCATGATCATCTCTCTTTCAAGCTCCGTAATGTTATTATACCTGAACAACATGGATTCATCAGAGGACGTTCTACTACAACAAATCTCTTCTGTTTTACACAGTTCTTGTGTGAGGCAATTGACAAAAAGAATCAGGTAGACGTAATCTATACTGATTTTTCCAAAGCCTTTGATAGATTGGATCATAGCATACTACTAACAAAACTTCACCAGATCGGAATGTCTGAACAGCTAATAACTGTCATAAAATCCTATATATCTGGACGCACCCAATTTGTTCAATGTCTGGGTCTCAAATCACGTGTATTTTCTCAAACTTCCGGAGTTCCTCAAGGCTCTATTCTGGGTCCTCTTCAACATTTTTGTTAACGATATCGTAACTAATATTGATGTAAAATATTTACTATATGCTGATGATTTAAAACTATTTCACACCATTAATAACTTGAATGATTGCCACTCTCTACAACGTAATATTAACCAATTAAATGATTGGTGCGCTGCCAACAAATTGTCTCTAAATGCCAATAAATGCAACATAATGACTTTCTCTAGAAAAGAGTCAATCATGCAATTTAATTAAATACTTCAGGATATTACGCTATCAAGGCCTGAGTTGATAAAAGATCTCGGTGTCTACTACGATCCCAAGCTAACATTCGGTGCTCATATTGATAAGGCGGTATCATCTTCTTTTCGGATCTTAGGGTTTCTAACTAGGAACATGAAAGATTTTAGAGAGTTCCATACAATGAATTTACTATTATCAGCTCTTGTTCGATCTAAACTTGAATACGTATGCATTATTTGGAGCCCAATTTATAATAATCAGATAACTCACCTAGAAAGAGTTCAGCGTTAATTTTTTAAATCTGCCTTTTTTATTCTAGATAATATATTTCCCGCTAGAGGCACTCCACAAGAATATTTTTATGACCGATTCGAATCCTGCAGTCTTGTAAAATGCAGAATAATGCTCTCTGTCACATTTTTACACAAAGTTATTAATGGGTCTGTTGACTGTATGGAGTTAATCAACATGATCAACTTCCACGTTCCTAGACTAAACTCCAGAAACTTACATATATTTCACATTCCGCCTCATAGTTCATATCTTTTGTCTCTTTTTTTTGCTGTTATTATCAGTCTTTATCTCCCAATTACTTGTATGGTTTAAAAGTTTGTCTACTACAAATGCACCTTTTTTTTTTTGTTCTTCGTTTTTTGTCATTTGTGTGTTCGAGAAGACATTCTTTTAACGAACAAATTGTTATTAATTATTGTATTGTATAATAAATAAATAAGTTTAGTGCTCAACCTGCCTACGCTCTAGTCATAATTCAACTACGACTTATGTAAGCTATTTTAACCGAAAGAAAGTATTTATAACAAACATAATGATTAAAAACGTGTTAACTGTAACTCGGAATAATGGATAATG